GTCTTTCAGCTTGAAGGTGCAAAAGAACAAAAAAAATTGCTTTAATTTCTAGTCTGTTTTTCCTTCAACTCCTTCATTGTGTAGCAGAGTGTGTCAGAGCATTAACCCAGCTGAACTCAGGCTGCCAACTCCAGGGGTGACAAAGGAATAGAAACCCACTGGCCCTCTAAGAAATAAGTTAGTGAACAATTGTATCTCGATGGTTACAACTGTATCCCTCATGTATCTGGCGTGTTTTTCCAGCAGAGATGGTTGATGCAGCCTGTCTGGGGCATCTGTTTCCTGTCAGATTTGCTCCTTGGCTTGTTGCTCGTTGTTAGTTGTGGATTGAGACAAATGGCAGCTGTCCTGGTGCACTCTAAAGGGTAATTGGGAGAAACCTAATCACTGGCAGGCAGAATGTGCTTGCAGCTGCTGATGTGCCATTAGTGAAGCCTTCAGTAATCCAGTTTTTCTTTTGATTTGATTAAATTATGCTTATGGATTTAGGTTTGTGTTCCCTAGGTAGAGGCAGATATTTTTATATGTTCAGCATGATTTCTGTGTGTGATGCTCATTCTTCAGCTTGTGCTGTTATGGAAAGCCTGCTGAAAGAGGTGGTTTGGGAAGGGGCAGAGCAGGTAAGTCTTGAAGGTTGAGTCATTCACACATCCCTCCCTCATCAAATAACAGAATAGGAACTGTCTGGCATGGAATGAGGACACCCCTTCCCATGTTCCTGCAGCATCCTGCAATTCTTTTAAACTTACCTTTAGAGTGGAATTAATATCAGTGCATCTTTCTAGGGTCCCAGGTTAGACCTTCCCAGGTGAACTTGTGTTTCAGGGTAAAGAATTTCTGCTTTTTTGCCTTTTCCTGTCCCTGGTGTGACTTGCTGGTATGACTGTGAATTCAAAGAAGTGAGTTCAAAATAACATGATGGCAAAGCTGATGGAATGTATTTTTCACTGAGAAGTGTTCTAATTCCATACTTAGTCTCAGCTTTGCAGAGTTGTACTGGCAGGTTTGTGAGCACTGGGACACGTTCACATGCAGCAAATGTGCACAAGGACTTTTGTTTTCAACTAATTTACTCTGGAAAAACCAGGAGTTGGTCTAGCAAAACAAACAGGTAATTATCCTAATAATTAACATTGTATTTATTGGGTGTTCTCTGCTCTGCAGATCCTGACCAAGGACTCGGTGACGGTGAACGTGGACGGGGTGGTTTATTACCGGGTCCAGAACGCCACCCTGGCCGTGGCAAACATCACCAACGCCGACTCTGCCACCCGCCTGCTGGCACAGACCACCCTGAGGAACGTCCTGGGCACCAAGAACCTGTCTGAGATCCTCTCTGACCGGGAGGAGATTGCACAGTGCATGCAGGTACGAGCTCTGGGGATCCATCAAATGCCTGAGCAGCAACCTCAGGGACAACCTATGGGAGAGGATTTATTGTACCTCTAAGTGATAAGCCAAGGGGTGGTTTGGAGCTTTAGGCAAAGCCCTGTTCAAGATCTCTTGGGATGACACTCCCTAAAATAAAAATGAAGGACTAAAGCAGGAAGGGACCAGTGGGAATGAGGGATACAGGAGGGGAGGCCTTCCCTGGATCATTGTGTCAGTCCTTGCTGTTGATGGAAATTATACCACAGAATTCCTTCAATAAATTAATGAAGCTCTGGGCTTTTGTCTTAGCTTACAACAGTTATGCTCTTATAATTATCAAATCATAACACAAGTACTAAAGCCCTTAAAGTCCAAGAACTCTAAGATAACTGATTTGGTTTAAGTGATCATTCTTCAAATGTGGGCATTAGTTTGAGTGGGGTGTGTGGTTTAACTTCCCTGTCCTGCCTTCTGCAGTCCACGCTTGATGAGGCCACAGATGATTGGGGCATTAAGGTGGAGCGTGTGGAGATCAAGGATGTGAAGCTGCCTGTGCAGCTGCAGAGGGCCATGGCTGCAGAGGCAGAGGCTGCCCGGGAGGCCAGAGCCAAGGTAAGGACACCAGCAGGGAGGTGCCCTTGGTTGGGTTTGGTTTTTTCTTTGTGAATAATTCGATGTGGTGATGTGGAGGATGAAGGTGCTCAGCCAGATTGTGCTAAATATTAATTTTGATGCTTAATTACTTCATAACTTCTTAATTATTATTTATTGTGATGTTTAAAAGAATACTGTGCCCTTGCAGTAGGGCTCTGTAGCAGACTCTGCACTTGCCTGTGCTGACACACACCAGTAACTTCCCTGTTAAAACAGGGCCATCTCCAACCCACCTGTCCTTGACAAATACTCAGAAAATGTTTATATCCCAGTGCAGAAAGGTCACAATTCTGTCCCTGATGAACTCAGAACTTAAAAAAAGGAGGGAATAGAAAGGTATTTCCCCAGTAAGAAACACTCAATTCCTTCTTGCCCTTGTAGATACAAAAAAATACAGCTTTAAGGAGAAAGTATTCTCAGCTGTCCAGGGGCAGTGCTGCTGTCTGTAAGAGCTGAACACTGTTCATTTATTGGGGTCTTAAATGCTCGTAATTCTGGTGAGGGGAAAGCAAAACAGTCCCAAACCCTCCAAAATAATTTCTTTAGTCAGAAGTCCATGTGCACAAGATGGCACAAAGGAGGTTTTGGGTTCTAAGGTATGTTCCTTTCAAGGAGGTTCACAGTGGGATTTATAGGTGCTATTTAATGTTTTTCTCTTCATAACAAAGAAGAAAATGTTTTCTTCTGTTCTTCCTGTATTTCACACAAGCTTTATTGTGCTGAAAGAAGCACAAAGGTTTTTGAAGGCAGAACAGATACTCCTGTGGCATTCTTGAGACCTGTGCTCAGAGACCCAGAGACCTCAGAGATCTGGCATTCTCGGGGTGGGAGGAGACCAGGAGAAGGGAGGAAACCAGGAGTAAGGGCCTGGAGAGCCAACAGGAGCCTGGTGAAACACCCACCTAGGGGAGGTCACTGGCAGAGTGGGGAGCAGTGGCTCTGGTCCCTCCTGAGGGCTGTGCTGTGTCTCCCTGCCAGGTGATCGCGGCCGAGGGGGAGATGAACGCGTCCCGCGCCCTCAAGGAGGCCTCCATGGTGATCACCGAGTCTCCCGCCGCGCTGCAGCTGCGCTACCTGCAGACCCTGACCACCATCGCCGCCGAGAAGAACTCCACCATCGTCTTCCCCCTGCCCATCAACATCCTGCAGGGCCTCCTCCACCTCAAAGAGTAGGGAGGGTGGGAGCATCTTTGCAGCGCTGCATTCCTGGGCACTGCAGCTCCCGGCAGTGTTGGCAACGCGGGTTTGCTGAGGAACCTCTTCTGTTTTACTAAGTGTGTTATAAAACTTGTGTGTAGTGTTTGTGGATATGGACAATTACAATTATTTGAAGTTGAAAGCCTCTCAGAAGGAGTACAAGCAAGTTGTGATCTTAAATAAACTTTATCCAAACTGTCCTGGATGGGGCACCTCTAATCCATAACCTCCCCTTTTCGAATAGTGTAGAAAAGGAGTTGTGGTAGAGGTGATCCAACATTTGGAAAGAGAATTATTCCCTGCAAGGGAAGTGGAACAGCCCTGACTGTATTCTCCTGGAGTGTAGCTGTATGTGATGGAGTCAGCAGATTGGTTCTCTGCCTTACACAAGGAAAAGTTGATGCAGGAGTGAGAATACTGTCCTGGGGACTTGTCAAAATCGGGTTCCTGCTCTCTAATCCAGTCCCCATTCATGAGAAACAGTTGTTGGTGGAACTTTCCATCTGTTCTGCCCCCCAGGAACGGCACAAACATGCCGTGGTTATGGACACAACGTGCTTGTGGTCACTGCTGGGCTGGTGTTGTTACAGGGCTGTGTCTGTGTAGAGTTGCGCTGCTTTAAAGCACTGAAAAGGGTCTGCCTTTATCTGTTTCTCTTAAAAAGGAATTTTTAAAAACCAAAGTACTGCGTTTTATCCAGGTCTAAAGCCTTCTTCCTGTAGAAGTCAGACGTCTGTAACTGGTGGGGTGGGGTGGTGTTTAACAGAGATGCTGCACTGTTGATACACCTGTTGGGACACAGGGGTTTTACTTGGTGGTGCTGCTCTGTGCACACCTGGAGGGGTTGTGGTGTCACTAAGGGCTTACATTTCATCCCAAAGCAGGTGAGCCTCAGCTCACACAACCCTGCCTGGCTGTTAAACTTTGTGTTTTGTACCTCTTTAGTAGATGTAATTACAGACTGAAATGAGGAGAATTGGAGTCTGCAGGGGGGGAGGCTCTTCAGGCTGCCACCAGCACTGAGTCTGGCACCTTGAACTTCCGGGAGGTGGCAATGAGACCAAAAAGCCAAGATCAGTGCTGTAAGTGCCCTTCTCACACTGGGCAGCATAAACCTCACAGCTTGGGGTTTGTCCCCTTTCTGCTACGCTCAGTTCTGTGTTTACAGGTGTTTTAGTACAGGCAGGGCCTGTCCAGCTGTGCCTTTGTCCCTGGCAGCAGATGCCCAAGTGCTGGTGCTTTCCTGCCTGTTTGCTGCAAAGCTTTTCTTTTCCTCTGCAGCACCAAAGCAATACACTCCTCTGTCAGTGCAGCACTTCATGTAAACTGAGTTTAACTTTTGGGTGGGAGAGGGAGAATCAGTTACCAAAGCTGGGCTGATCAGCTCTGCTGTGCTCAGAGGGGGTCCTTGGGGAACATGGTGACTCTGTAACTCCTGCTGTTGCTGCTGCAGGTGCCACCCCTGTGAATTGTTGTTGACACCACGAGATGCTTTTTGCTCTCCTCTGAATAAAAGATGTGCTGTTTACTAACGACTGACTGCCTGTAAGAGTTAACACTGTTCATTTATCGGGGTCTTAAACGCTCATAATTCTGGTGAGGGGAAAGCAAAACAGTCCCAAACTCCCCAAAATAATTTCTTTAGTCAGAAGTCCATGTGCAAAAGATGGCACAAAGAAGGTTTTGGGGTTTAAGGTGTGTTCCTTTCAAGGAGGTTCACGGTGGGATTTATAGGTGCTATTTAATGTTTTCTTCTTCATAACAAACCCCACCATTTCTGTTCTTCCCATTATTTCACACAAGCTTTATTGTATTAAATATAATCAAAGCAAGGAGGAGGGTCAATGACTGGTCGTGATTGTTTTCGGAAATTATTGCACAGCTAATTGGCTATTTACCATCATTCCCTCGTTAATGTGCATCCTGGAGGAAGGAGCTCTCGGAGGCATTGAAGGCACTGGACTTGCTCTGTGTCAAACCTGTTCTCAGACATCCACGTCTGCCATCGCTCTCTGCAGGGGATCCACAGCCCAGTAATCGTCATCCCAGCCCAGGAACCAGCCGGAGAAGGTGGGGGGCTCGAAGCCCTGTTTGATGATGGTCACGGGGGTCCTCTTGTCGCGGTTGGACGGGTCGGTGTCGATGTAGCGCTTGGCTGGGGGGAGGAGGGGACCTCACTGAGGGAATCGGGGCTAAATGGCTGCTCCACTTAACCAACCACCCACCCACCCTGTGGTTTGTAGAATGTGGATCTCCTGCCTCATGAGCAGACAGTGGGAAAGGGAGAAAGGGAGAGTTCAGAGAGGAAAATGTGACATTACCAGATTTCAGTGCCTCAGTCTTTTCTTCTTCTTGGGCGTCTTGTCCAATCCATACAAAGACCTAAAGAAAAAAATATGCATATTAATCATTTCAGCAACAATCTCTTTCTGAAGGGGTGATTTAGACAAAGTCTCAGTGACCAGAGGGTGACACAGACCCAGAACATCCCCATGTTGGGTGTGCCTGGGGTGTTGACCCTGCGTGACCAAAGCCATCACTTGATCTCAAGAAGCTTTTTGCCTGCATTTTATCTACAGAAATTGTAGATCTGTGAACGAATTCTACACTAGTTTAACACCAGAGGAAAGTAGCAGATGTTTGAACATTTTTACATAAAACATTAAAACTCAGTAAGTTGCCTTGTGGCTGATTTATGCACAGTCTATTACACAACAGCACTGCTGTTGTAATTCAGATCTTGATCTAGAGCCACTCTGTGCCTGTTCTTTGCTCCTCTTGTCACCCTGTAAACGTGAGGTACCTGATCCCACGTGTCGAGGAGCATCACATCATCTGTAGCCAGGTCATCCTGAGTCAGATCTCCAGGGACTTCTTCAATCTGGAAAACAGAGGGTTAAGGTCAGCACAGGCTTCAAGCACCACTTTACCTGTACAGGAGAAATCCCACAAAGGAAGAGCAGGGGTGACACTGATGGTGGGTGGCTCAGAGCAGCTGGGACTGAGGTTCTCCCAGCCTTGGCAGGGGGGTGTTGGAGCTACTGATGTCAGAGACTCACCGTGAAGCGCCCGCTCTTGTTGGAGCAGGCGAAGAGCCGAGGAGGGTGCGCGTCCATCTTCTTGTCCTTGAGCCGGGGCGAGGTGCGGTACGGGGCCTTCCCACCCAGGGCTGCCCAGAAATTGTCTGCAAGAGAGAGGCTGGTGCTTCACTTGTTCATGGAAACCACAGCAGGGTTATGGTTCGACTCAGGCTCCCCTGTGACTCCCTCACCTGGCTCTCTGCCCTCAGAGACCTGGACTGGGCGAGCTCCCAGGACCTTCAGCAGCTCCTGCGCTCCCGATTTCTCGGCGTTGCTGGCTCCTTGGCCAACCCACAGGTAGGCAGCAGAGGGAGTCTTCAGGACAAAGGCATCGTTGGAGTTCAGCTGACTGGCAGTAGGATCCAGCTGAAAAGAAGGAACACTGCAGGTGTCAGATGTAACCATCCTCTACCCAGAGCCCATTAGTTCAAAATAAAACCAGAACCTATCGTTGAATAAACCACAAACAAGACACTCCTGTGAGCGTGTAAGGCTGTAAGATGTGTGTTCCCTGTATCCAGGTGATGAGTTAGACTTGCCACATGGGAAGAGCAAACAACTGTTTCTCTGTGATCTGCAGGTGCACAGGACATGCAGTGCCTGCTCTGTCATTTTGCCAGTCTGTGGCCATGGCAGGAGATGCAGGATCTCACTGGGCAGCCCATGGCAGAGCAGTTCCCTGCTGGGACACTGCTCAGTCACTCACACCATCTCCTCTGTGCCAGCAAGGACAGGCCATCTTGAAGCTGGAAACTTGGAAGTTACTGCAGTCATAAACCAGCACCCTCACCTCCCCTGGACCTGTTCACTAGGATTTAATCTCCGTGCTGTTGCACAGGGTTTTGTGTGCATTTTCTTCCAGAGGAGTGGGACTCTGAACCCGTGTCCTGGCACAAATTCCATGGGAATTTAGCTCTTCCTGCCTTCTGCATTGTTGTCACACAATGGGCTCAGCACAAGTCACAAATGTTCCCATCAGGGCCTGTCCAAACAACCCCAGAGTTGCTCCCCTTGCACGTACCTCCACAGCTCTGGTGGCTCCGGAGGTGCTGGATCGGACCTGGAAGAGCCGCGTTTCCGCGGGCGCCGTCTGCCCTCCTTCCCTCGAGGTTCCCCCCTTGTACACAATCAAGGGCTTGCCCCCAAACATGCTCATCAGGTGAGGTGGCTCCTTCCCTTGCACTACTCGTTTCTGCAGAGAAAGAAACGTGCTCTCAGTTTGGAGCAGCACAAGAGGTACCAGAAATGGCCTTTGCAGCTGGAATATTCACACAGCACCCAGCTGGGGGTAGGAGTGTAATACAGGTATTATTTATTCCCACAGAGTTGGGTTTGGTTTCTGCTGGGTTGTGTTTGTTCCTTTACCTGCACAGGGGTGCCTCCCAGCTCCTCATCCAGCTGCACTGTGAGGAAGGCAGAGGTTGCAATCTCATCCTGAGTGGAGTCAGCTCCCTGCCTGGGAGACAAGGCCAAATTCCAGATTTATTTTCAGCCCTTCCAGACACACACACCTTACAGAGATCCAGAGGAGTTGAGGAAAACCTGTGTTACCAAACCTTCATTCAATAATAAGAGGACATTGGCTGTCCTGTGTTGCAGCACAGGGATTACAGGGGGAGACAAGAACCTTTGCTAGAGAAGCAGCACAGATTCTTCAGGATTTCCAGCCCAGTCTCCCGTTCTTTCCAGCAGCCAGTTTAAGAACTCAGCTGTTGGTACTGGGATCAGGAATTACATGTGCAGCCCCTGGGCAGGCTGTGCCCCTTCTGGGTTCACTCAGAGGTTCTGCCTGTGCCCTCTGCTTGTTGAGGAGCAGCAAAACCACCCCTGTGAGCCTGGCTGGAAAATTCCTCCATAAGGACACGGGCTGGGAACTGTCCCAGTCACAATAACAGAGTATCAGAAGTTCCTTACAGTGATCTCAAAGATGTGGGAACTCTGTAAAAACCAGCAGAGCTTGATCCAAAGAAGGGAGTAACTACTACTGGCAGGGGAAAAAGCTAAAAAAAGCTAGCACAGGAATTCCCTCCATTGTTCCACTTCAAGTGAAACATCCCACACCTCTGGGGGAGTGTTTTGTTCGCAAGGGATGCTTATCCAGGGTGAAATTTTACCCCCCAAGGTTCCTCTGTCAGTGGGGAGCAGCAGTGATCCGTTTTCCAGAGCTCCCTCACCAGGTGTAGATGATCTGGCCCCTCCTGCCGTCGTGCTGGTAGTCGTACAGGATGATGTAGCTGTCCCCGCCGTAGAACTGCCCGTAGGTCGCGGGATTCACCGGCACCTTCTCGGAGCCTTCTATTCTCCAGATCTGGGGCGGGAGCAGCGGAGATGCCTCATCAGTTAGAGCCTTTCTCCCGCTCCTGCATTCCCCAAATCCTGCATTCCCCAAATCCCGCATTCCCCAAATCCCGCATCCCCCAAATCCCGCATTCCCCAAATCCCGCATTCCCACATCCCGCATTCCCCCATCCCGCATTCCCCCATCCCGCATTCCCAAATCCCGCATCCCCCAAATCCCGCATTCCCACATCCCGCATTCCCAAATCCCGCATTCCCAAATCCCGCATTCCCAAATCCCGCATTCCCAAATCTCGCATTCCCAAATCCCGCATCCCGGCGCTCGCGGGGCTGCAGCGCCCCCTGCCGGGCCAGCGCCGACAGCGCCCCGGACCCGACAACGGGACAATTCCCATCCCTGTCCAGGGAAGGGAGCTCCGAGGCTTCCCGCGGGACTTCTGAACAGCCAAAAACCTTGGCCGGCACCTCCGTGGGCTTCCGGAGGGCGCTCAGCCCTTTCAGTGCCACCTCCAGCCCTGTTTGGACGGGCACGGGGTGGATGGGACAGGTGCTCCCACAGAATCACCCCCCACACGTGATGGCAACAGGTACAACAGGAGGAGGAGGTACAGGAGGAGGAGGAGGAATGAGGGAGAATTTCAGTGCTGGGAAACTGTGGGATCAGAATTAACAGAATCACCACCACTTACCTGCAGGGCTCTGCAGACCCTGCTGGCATTTCTGGTGTTAAACATTGCCCCAGTGTTTACAAAAGCTCAGTGCTGAGGTGGCTCTCAGGCCTCCGTTTGTCCCGCTGCTCTTGCAGGAATGCCACCCAGGGGTAAAGAAAAGTTTGGGAACCTCCCCAGAGGGGTGCTGGCACTGCTGACCTGTTTGTTGCCCGTGCCATCATCCTCCATGCCGTGCTGGGCAGCCATGGCCCTGGAGCTGTGCAGAGTGGCCGCGTCGAAAGGGACCTGCTCGATCTTGGCAACGTGACCAGAAACATGGGCCTGGCCCAGCCCCTCTGTCTGGTCCTTGTCCCGCCAGTTCTTGAAGAATTGCTTGAACAGAGGTGTCTCACCGCTCTCAGGGAGGACTTGGATCTGAAATGAATGAGCCTTTAGAAGCATCTCCCCAAGGTTTATCTACCCCTTCTCTTTTGCACTCTTTGGAGAGAGGTCACAGCCAGGGTGAGAGTGTCTGACACGAGAACATGAGCTGTGCTGGGGGAAATGCTGCTTTAAGGGCAGGGTTAGCCCAGGAGCACCACTGCAGTGTCTCCCTGCAGAAAAGCAGATCACCCAAACCAGGAGCTCCCTGAAAGGCCAGGAGTGGAGTCCCCAGCCCGTGAGGCAGAGAAGTGTCCCCCGTGC